AAAATGAAATTAAATAAAAATATATTTAAAATAAATTACTTGGACAAAATAATTGGAAATTAAATAAAATTCAATGAAATAAAACCAATTGAAGTAAAACGAAAGGTTGTGAAATTAAATGGAATAAAATTACGTGAAATGAAAAAAAATAAAGCAAAATAAAATACACTAATATATAAAATATAAATAGCTTAATTAAATTAAATAAAATTAAGTTAAATGAAATGTTTTAAAAATGAAATAAATAAAATAAACTAAAATAAATGAAACTTAATTAAATAAAAGAAAATTAAGTTAAATAAAATGTTTTGAAAATGAAATTCAACGACATAAAATTAAATTGAACTAATTTAAGTAAAGTTGAATTTTTTGTAATAAAATAAAATAAAATAAAATAGAGGCTCATAGTTCTGTTCTTAAAGTAATTGTGGTAACTCCGTTCAGTTTGTAACATGAACTTATGATATACGTACGTACATATATATGTATCGTCAACACATATACTAATACATATGTTTGTTTGTATGTTGAGTGAGAAAACACTCACTGATCTTGAAGTAAGCAGGTTATTCATAAGCACCCACACTAACGCATTCACATATTTTTTTTTTCATTTTTTTCATTGGATTCAGTTAAAGAAATGAAGTTATAACCTGTTGCTATAAATGTTTTACAATAACATACCTACATGGATGTTAAGGCGCTCACATAAAAATTAAAAAATAACAAGCATATCCATAAACCTACGTGTACTTGTATCGAGTGTCTGAGTAACATTTTCCAAGTGAGAGCCTATCTTTCACTACTCAGTACCTGCGGAATTGTATTACTCATACCATTCAGCGACGGTACTCTTCCACAAACCGCATACTAATGCCTAACTATACATACATACATATAAGTAAATAAATAAACCAAAAAATTATGTAGCCCTCCCATTGAAAGCAACATAGAAATGTATGTAAGTAAAAGCGACATAAATGAGATTCCACGCCTTTGAAAACTGTTCGAAGCTTTTAAATGGCAACGTGATGTATTGCCAGGGCATAGCACAGCAGAACCACTAAAATGGTTCAGCTACATACATATATGACAATATACTTTGCACTGTTTGTACATATGTACATATGCGGACCACCACTCCCCATACTCATGGCATTCCTACCTTGTTAGAGCCATCATCAAACAACAGCACCAGCACCAGCACCAGCAACAGCATTGAGTGAGAGCTTCACGCACGCGCAGCTCCGCATCATTCGTGGTAACATTACTGTTGTTGTTGTGACCATCGTGTGGTATGATCGGTCGTTTTTTTTAAACCTTCGCTACCCGCAATTGCCGTCCCCTGGTCGTGGTGATCATTAGGCCGACCAGGCTGTGTTGGCCATCTCTTTCTTTGCGTAAGTCAGGTAGACGACGTAAGCGTAGAACAGCAGCTCGCTGTGTAGCACAACAGCGACAGCGAGCTGGGCTTCTGCTGCTGCTGTATGTAAGCGTTTACGCGACCACTGCCGATCGCGTTTTCGTTCCGCTTGAACACTAGTGGCAATGGCACTACCACTGTGTGGCTCTGTGGTAGTGGTAATGGCAGTTTGGCCAACAAAAAAATGAAAAAGAAGAAATGGGCTCTTAAGATCATATGAAAATCGTTATATGGCAGTGTTGCTTCGTCTTTGGAATGTCGTATACTCAGAGATAGTATATTGTGCATATGTATGTATGTGTATGATAGCAGTGCTGACTCAACATTCGAATGTTGAATTCGGTTATCGTGATTTGCTTCGAAATGAATGTGACGTAGCAGCCTAATGTTTGAACTTAGCAAGCTAAGACCATTTCGTTTTTCATGGAACCCAAAGTGATATGCATACATGCATATTTGTACATATATACATATGTGAATGGGGGTGTTTTCACATAGTTGTGACTCTAACTGTTGAATTCTTTTTAATTAATTTCATTTAGATTCGAAAAGTACCAAGAAAACTCTGGCTCTACACCGTCTAGTCTAGTGAACTGAAAGTAACTCAAATTAATTTCTCTCTCCCGTTGAAACTTCTGTTTAAACTGTTATCTAAGTACGAAGTAAGCTTTTTGAGATATTTTTATTATGAAAATACCAAAAAATAGAATTCCATTCAATCTGCATTTGAGGTTTATACCAGAAAACGGAACAAATTTGAATAGAAAGCCTGATGCTTTCTACACCGCACCACGAAAAGCTCCGTCAGGGTCGGGCAAAACCTCTCAGAGCCGTTCAAAAGAGGATTCAAATATGGTGACTCCTTATCGTGTGACATTAATCTATGGCTTGAGAAAACATCGTTAGCGCCATGAACTCTGCTTTCTCCAGACTGGATAAAGAGGTAAAAAATATGGGTTTGTTAGTGAACGAGTGCAAGACGAGATATCTCCTGTCATCAAACAAACAGTAATCGTTTAGCGATTCAGCTGCCATGTCAATGTTGGCAGTCATAACTTTGGGACGTAGATAACTTCGTCTATTTTGAAACCAGCATTAACACCAACAAAAATGTCAGCCTGGAAATCCAGCGAAGAATACTCTTGCCAATCAGTGCTACTTTGGACTGAGCAGTGAGTGGAAAGGTGAAGTCCTCTCTCGACGAACCAAAAACCAAACTCTACAAGTTGTTCTTCAAACCCGTCCTACTATGTGATGCGGAGGCACGGACGATGACAATAACGCTCCAGAATATATATAGTTTTTATGACTCTGACCATGATTTTAAAATTCTATAAGGTAAATCCACTTTGTTTGATCTTGCCACTTAAAAAAATTTCAACTCGGAGATTTTTTTTTAATTATTTTGGGGTTAAATTCTAAGCAGACGCCATGAATTAAAATATTTGTTCAAAGCGTTTTTTATAGACGGCAAAAGTAAGTAACGGATTTGCTAGATAGATATGAAAATTTTCCTCATTTTTTATTTAAAAAAAAGTAGATTTTTTTAAGAGAAGAGAGAGTAAGAGAAGTAGGACGAAAAATCCAAAACACGTTTAATGTCAGATTGCTATAAAGCCGACTGCAAGGAGAGAATGAAACTAACTTTAAATTATTGTATTATGACTCTGACTTCATTAAAAGCTGTCACTTTTATTCTCAAAAAAAAAAAAAACGAAAAAAATTAATAATTAAATAAATATTCGGAAAAGAGTGTGTGTTTCCTTCCAAAAAGCACAGGCAGTAAGAGTATAGTTTTAAAGTTATATATAATATATATATTATATATAATATATAATATATAATATATAATATAATATATAATATATAATATATAATATATAATATATAATATATAATATATAATATATAATATATAATATATAATATATAATATATAATATATTATATATAATATAATCGTATATAATTGAACGGCTAATGGGTTTTTGTGAGGAGCCTTTATTTCATGTCATAAATAAAATTCCTGCTGAGGGGCGACCGCTTTTTGAAACTTTAACTTTTTTTAATTCAAATTAATTATAATTGGATGTTGGTCGTACCAGAGTTTGATAGTAATCATATTAATGATGAACATTGGATACTCTGATAATGTCATTGTTATATAAAATCCACAGATCGATCGAAAAAAGGAACACACATATCAGTCATTGCTCGTAGGACACTTAGTTTCCATTAAACGTCGCAGGTCATGCCAAAGGTACAAAATTTGTTTGAGTTCTGTGGATTAATATTATACCTTAAATATTCGATCTTGGATCAGGCTGAGTGCTGCGAGTATATGAGATAGAGGCGTAGTTTTTGCCCGATTGCATCCATATTGTATTTGATTTCAAATCAGACCAAGCGAGTACCATAATTTTATCGAATTCTGACCTCTGTCCATTAGTTTGGGTAAACTTTTTGACCCACAAGTGGGTAGTGCCACGCTGAGCCAAAATTTGTATCCAATCCCCATGTTTTTCTATTCAAGACGATTGTCTCTTGTAAATTTAATTACACATTTTGCACTCTTCAAATTCACCGTAACATGAGAGGTGACGTGAACTTGTGTTCAATTTCACTCAAATACAAGAACTTCCGTACTTGTGTTCCATTGTTTATTTAAAATACCTCAGTCCTTGCTTGATTTATCTTGCGCAGAGGCGGACGGATGGACGGATAGACAGGCATGACTAAAGGTATACATATGTCTATATCTATCTCGATGTTGTTGTTGTTGTTGTTATCACCGCAAAAATATTCCCCAAAATACTTTTTGTGGAATGTTGCGGGAGTGGCAGTCCTTGGTCGGATAAAAATCCGGGTCGTTCCGGTATTAAGACCCGACTGTCGCGGAAACTATTGATTTTAGTCGCATCTTACGACAAGCATGCCTTACCGCGGGTAAATTCTTGAACCCCTAACTCGCAGGGGCTATATCTATCTCGATTATTTTATGCACTTACATACAGCCGTTTGCTGAACAATCCTGATGTACTCAGTGTACAGCACAGCCGATTAAAAAAACTTGTTTTGTAGCCGTGAGTTTGGCGGCCGTAATAGCCGAGTGATTGGCATTACGTACTGCCATTCTGAAGGTCAGGACTCGAGGCATGGTTCGACTATCATCCTCTGGGCAAGGAGACTCAGTCCTCTGAGTGTGTTTCTGACATGAAATAAAAGCTTATAAACACCGAGCGTTCGTAAGTTGCTTAGTATAAACTGGTGGTCTCACGTTTTGTTGGAAAACCACAAGACGCATGTCATAAATTGGAGGAAGAGCTCGGCCGAAAATCGCTTCAGCGCTTACAAAGCCCCAATTGGGTTCTCAACACTTGGAAAGTTGATCAAAATTGTATTGGGTATATTATTATTATTAATAAAAAGTCCAGTCTCTTCGTAGTGCCTGCAAAATATTTTTGTCTATATGGAAATATTTACCAGAGTTCTAAATACTTTCAGTTCAATTAATTTCACATTTTTTACATTCATTGAAATTCGTAATAAATTCTCCAAATCCTTTTCGCCCACACAGAAAACTCGGCTTAGATCAAGTGCCACGCATCGGTCCACTCGCTATCGATCCGCACAACATTGGTATTGTAGGACTATATAATGTGCATGTGACTAGTGCAGACAACGCCAAAGCATCATCGGTAAGTTTGAATATAGAGATACACATTAACGCATTTATTTACATTTATGGTGCTCTCACTTTCAATCTTCTAGAGTCGCGGAACGTTGCGTCGGAAAGTTCAACGTAAAATACTCACACATCATCTGTACTTTTGTATGCGTGATTTTGGCCATCGCATCGGCGGCGATGATGCTGAGGTCTACTTCTTCCTATACGATGCCAATCCAATGCGCATGCGTGCGCTGTCGGAACGTTTTTTGGTTAAAATCTCTAAAGATGGTTTCTCGAATTACATCGAAAAGTTGCATAGCAATTGCACAGTCTTCACCGATTTGGGTATGTGTGTGGAGAAAGAAGAAAAGAAAACTAAATAAAGAAAAAAAACATTAATATTAATTTCCTCCTTCTTGCAGGCGCTGTCGATTTGAATGAAGACTTACATTTGGTTGCGGTGGTGATGCGTGTGGGTAAAATCATTCCCTCGGAGACAGGCAAAAAAGTTGAGAAAAATAATAGTCTCTGCTGCACGAGCCCCACCTACCGGCGACCCTTTGGTATGGGCGTACTGCCACTAAACGATATAACACACTATGATAGCTCTGTTGAGGCGGAGGAGAAAGAGTATAATTTTAAGGTTAGTCCCTGAAGTTTTTTAGGTTAAGAGTTTTTCATCAGTCTTTTATTATTTTCGTCGCTCAAATTTCTACTTGAACCTCTTGACTTTATAGATTTACCAATGCGAGGAGAAAGACTTCCATCAATTACACGAATTAATTATTAAGAAATCAAATGGCAAATTTTCGCCAATCACCTCAGGCAATCAAAATACACAGGGCATTGTTGTTTCGCTTAAGCTACTGCATGGCGGCCTCGGGCAGGCGCGTCAAGAGCAACCGCTGCTCTTTCAGGGCACGACAATCACACGTAAAATGGGTTTTCCCGATGTCATTATGCCCGGCGATGTACGCAATGATCTCTTCATCACACTGGAGCGTGGCGAGTTCGAACGCGGTGGCAAGAATACAGCGAAAAATATTCTAACAACAGTGGTTGTGCTCGATACGGCTGGTAATATTCTGACGGATTGTTTGTGGGGCGCCTCTAGCATGGATCCGCAGAACTATTACAAGTCCATGATTTTGTATCATCAGAATTCACCTTGTTGGAATGAAATGCTGCGATTGAGTGTGCCCATTGATAAATTTTCTGTGGCGCATGTGCGTTTCGAATTTCGTCATTGTTCGACACGTGATAAATCAGATCCAAAGCTCTTCGGTTTCAGCTTTGCGCGTCTAATGGATGCAAGCGGTGCGACACTCACCGATGGACAACACGAGTTGTATGTTTATAAATGCGAGGATCCGGCAAAATTGCATGCAGGAAATTATCTGAAATTGCCAAGCAAATCGAAGGACCCACATGCCAAAGTGGACTGCAGCTCTATATTCCATCGCAGTTCGAAGGAAGTTTTTGTTATGAAATCACTGCTGTGTTCCACTAAACTAACGCAAAATGCTGACCTGCTCTCCCTACTACAGTGGCGCACAAATCCCGAAAGCATACAGGACTCACTCACCGGCGTGCTGCGCTTAAACGACGAAGAACTGGTTAAGTTTCTACAAGACGTACTCGACGCACTATTCGCTATGTTCTCCAATGAAGAGGGCAACAGCACTGAGCATTCGGGCTTGGTCTTCCACGTACTGGTCAGTATTTTTAGCGTGTTGCAAAGCAACAAGTTCCAACATTTTCGTCCCGTAATGAATGCGTACATTGAGAATCATTTCGCTGCTGCGCTCGTCTACAAAGGCTTGATAACATCGGTGGAGCATATGGCCGTTTTTATGACTAAGGCTGAACATCCCGATCCATTCCAGAAATGCTTCAGTTCGTTGGAGTATATCTTTAAATTACTAATACAGTCGCGTAAGCTGTTTGCGCGCGCTACGGGCGGTCAATACGAGGACTCATTTCGTCGTGATTTACATTCACTTTTTACTGCGCTTAACGGCATGCTGGCAGTACCATCGTATGATGTTATCATACCGACACAAGAGGCGCTGCTAAACTCTACAGGTGTGGTGCTCGAACAACTGAAGGACACATTGCCTGCGCCGGAGCTGGGTATGTTGGCTCGAAATATGCTGGATGCCATACCCAGAGATGCTCCTGTGCGCTTGATACAGGCTAAATTGAATGCGGTCAAGGATCTGGTGTCGGGAGAACTGTTTCACGAAGATGGTAAGTTATTGGTGAGCTTAAATGTGGAAAATCAAAGTTTTTAGGTACATAACATAAGGCACTCTTGACACTTATTCCTTTAAGGCACCACAAGCTAAAATCCACTAAATCTACCTTTTTCCCTGCAGATTCACGCACTGTGGTGCTCTCGGTTGCCTGCAAACATTTACGCATGCACCTCGGACGCCGTGACGAGTTATTACTCTGCGCTGAAATTATATCTGAAATTCTAAATCACCTCTATGACTTACAACGCCAACAGCGCGAAAAGGTAACAAACACCTTGCAGCACGACTTGGACTCGCTTTGTAAAAATATACTTGGCATTCTTATCAAAACCATAAACATAATGATGGATGGTGCCAACAATGTGCTACCACAATTGGTCGCCTGTCTACTTGGTCTACTGCAACTACTCGATGAGACTCATTATAAACACTACTGGGATGAATTGAGTCCCAATAAAGATCCACGTGATTTAAAAGAGTTTCTCACCAAATCTCTTGTGGTGTTTGAAGAGCTCCTCTCACAAGATTGGCTAGTATTCCCCACAGATTGGCTTGTGATGAAATTGGCGTCTAACGATGTGTTGCGTAAAGCGCTGGAAGAATTTGCCAAACCATTGGTTTATCGTTTTCTCGGTCCGCAATCCTTCGACTCACCACTCTGGTGGTCCTATTTTAGTTTAGCTGTAACATTTCTAACACAACCTTCACTACAATTAGAAAAGTATCGTGAACCGAAACGGCGAAAAATTTTAAATACTCACGGTGATATGCGCGTACTAATGGGCTTCCAAATACTCAGCATGTGGTCGCAATTGGGCGAACAAAAGTTACATTTTATACCCTCAATGGTTGGGCCGTTCTTGGAGGTGACGCTCGTGCCCGAGCAAGCGCTGCGAAAGGCGACACTAACGGTTTTCTACGACATGATGCAGTGCGAACAGGTAAATGAGTGTTTTGAAGTAAAAGGAGATCCCTTCTGTTCCTACAAAATAATAATTTCCTTACAGAGCGCACGTGGTTCCTTCCGATTGGTGGAGAGCGAACTTATCGATAAATTGGATTTGTTGATAAGTGAAAATAAGGGCGACGATGAGTATCGTGAACTTTTCAGCACAATGTAAGCTCTTTAGATTGATGGATTAATGCATATTTCGTTGTATTGGCTTCGATTGACTCGCACAGCGGCTGGAAGGAAAAGTATAGTTGAAACTTGATTACGATCAAAAAAAGAGGACAACCGCTTTAACTAGCTCGGTTACAGTGTGTCTGATTTCAGTCCTGCCGAGCTTCGTCAGGCAGCTCGTAAAGTTAGATATAGACGTCCGATCTATCTTAAATTAGGTTCAGTCAACATTTTGCATGTATGTCCAGACAGATAGAGCTGCTTTAGTTTAGTTTCGATTAGTATGTATGGTCGTCTAAAGGGAAAAATTCCAAGGCGATCGAATGCCTAATCATTACTCCAATTTTTTCTCTACAGTTGCAAGATCTGGTGTAGTCGTCATTCAAATATGGGTCTAGTAAATGTTGGCGTCATCGAGAATTTCTTACATGTTGATCCACTCCTTGGAATCATGTTAAAACCTTATCCCCATCTCGTCTGAGCATTTCGGAAAGACCAAGCTGATATGACTGAAGTCCATCATTCTCCTCTCTCTTGAGAGTGTGGGTTAGCTAATTCTATCTTTGAGGTCTTGAATTGACGTAGATCTTATCTTTGATGTGGCCCCAAAGAAAAAGTAACAGGGTGTTAAAGCATAAGATCTCGGTGGTCAATTGCGATCACCTCTTCGAGAGATAACATGGTCCGAAAACTTTTCGCTTAAGATATCGATGGATTCGTTGCTAGTGTGGCACGTAGCGCCGCCTTGTTGAAAGTAAACGTTGTCCAGATCAATACCAGCCTATTCGGCCATTAAAAGTACTTAATAATCTCTCGATAGCGCAATCGATTCACCGGAACTGTTGCTCCAGCCTCATTTTCGAAAAAATAAGGTCCGATGACCCCGTTGGACCATAAACCGCACCAACTGCCGTTACACGTGGAGGATGGGGAAAAACTCTACAACAATAAATGTTGGGTTTTCTGAGCCCCAAATGCGATAGTTTTACTTACTGACGTAGGCATAGCGATGGAATTGAGCCTAATCAGTCGAGATGAATTTTCGATGGAATTCGGGATCATTTTCATGCATGTCAAGGATCCCATCAGCAAAAGCTCGACATTGTTGATGATCGGTCGGTTTTGGTTCTTGTGTTAACTGAACTTTATAAGATTTAAAACCCAAGTATTTATGCAAAACACGGTGTAATGAGGGAAACAAAGAAAACAAACAGCGAGAGGAATGGACAAACCTTTCCATTCTTCTCATCAACTCCATTTTTTTCACTAATTTTTGTATTGCGGTCCGACAAGATACCTCCCGCGACCGAAAAATGTACGAACCTTAGTCTTATTTTCACCATTTTTATGGTGAACATTAATACTTTCAATGCATTGTTCTGTAGCCTCTATTGTTCCATCTTTATTAGTAGCTTAGTTTTTACTTGTCAAATGTCAAAGACTTTCAGCTTCAATAGTAAAATCTACCGGGTCGCATTCCCAACTAAGAGCCACAGTGGGGCACATCCAGTTGTTCGCCCTTAATACGTACAATTTTCAATTCGATGGTCGTCCTCAAGTGCGGAAATTTTCATCTGAGACTTTTGTCTTCTTTTCATTCGTGCTAATATGTGGCGGGTCCGAAGCCACCCTTTCATACAAAAATTGCGTTTTCTTCGACTTTTCCTTCAGCCTAAAGTGCCACGCTAAATCTTATTATATACAAATAAATGTCTGTGTATGTGTATGTGTATGTGTGTGTGTTTTTAATTATTAATTTATCACTTAGAAATTATTTTGTATATAAAATGTATGAAAACATGTCTATATTTTATACTAATCATTATCATGTTAAATGTCTGTCCATCGCCTACAAATCGCCTTTTTAAAAAATCAAAAAAAAAAAAAAAATTGTTAAATATGTACGCATACAATTAATACTTTTCAAAATGCAACCAACCAAACGAAGGGAACATCTAAGCTTGGTGTAAGTGAAAAAAGCTCAACTCATATGCAATCATCATTTTCGTTAGTGTTTTTTTTTTTTGTTCTTGTAGTTTAACTTTCTCAATATTATTTATGATTTGCTAACATTTCATTGTAAATTTCTACCATTGAAGGAGGTGGAGGGCTGTTATTCCAAATGGGAGTCGAGCGTTTTCAAAACTATTATTATTTTTTATTATTAAAATTTATTGTTGCTAACCGCCGACTTGGGTTTCCATTTCTATCAACTGTAATTTTCTATTATTCCAATGGTTTCTATAATTATATATAAAATTATCAACTTTTGCACTTATATCTTTGAAATTTCATATATAAAAAACCTAACCTCAAAATATTGTAAAAAAAAAAAAAATTTGTCTTGCAGACTAACCTCAAATTATTCTATATATTTTTATTTTTTTAATCAATGTCTAAGAAACACCTTCTTTACGAAATAATCAATTTTAAAATTACTTCTTTAATTAGTTTACTTGAAAAAGTACAAACGGAAAATCCCGGCTGGAAGGAGTCTGGCATAGCATTCATAGGATCGGTTACACGTTTGCTGGAGCGTCTTTTGGACTATCGCAGCGTCATGCAAGGCGAAGAAAATCGTGACAAGCGAATGTCCTGCACCGTGAATTTATTGAATTTCTATAAAAATGAGATTAATCGCAAAGAGATGTATTTGAGGTGAGTTCAAGGGCATAACTTTTTATTTTCATACGAACCAGAATCTAACCGGATGTTACAAAATCCTTTATATTAGCAAGTAATCTAACATAAAGTTTCAGAAACGGGCTGCCCGTTGGTTTTGGACCAATGGGAGTCTGATATTAGATATGTAGAGACTTTACGTAGAGAGATTATGCTTGACATTGAGTATGTCGGTCATGAGTTTTGACAGATAGAAGTTTAACCTGCTCCTCCACCAAGCTTTGAAACTCCACCAGAGACAAGTAGAGCTCTTGCCTTGCTGTGGAATGCTTGTTGTTAACAGAAAGAAAGTGTTAGAAAGTGCAGCCTACCTAGGTGTAAGGTGTAGCTGTCATGCTCACAGCATACGCGGATAATAAATACCTCAGTCATAGTGGGCGGTAAGTGTTTGGCAACCCTCGAATCTCTGGCAAATAAGGCACTAAGAACCATTAACAACTAGGCTATTTCACTCACTCAGGACTCAAGGTTTATACTGATAAAAAAGATATGGTTTTATTTACAAGGAAATACAAAACTCCAGCTTAGATCAAGCCAAAACTAGGAGAGGACACTTTACGTCTAAAGCTTAGCACTAAATATCCGGGAAGTGTGTTGGACAGTTTTCGATGAAACTCAATGTAGAGGAGCGAGTGAAAAAGGCATCAGTGACCTTATATACATGTAAAATGATGTTGATCAGCACTTGGGGTCTCTCCCCCGTTATCTTCCATTGGATCTTCATTGCTGTTGTTAAGCAAAAACTTTTCTACGGAGCTTTAGTATAGTGGAGAGCTATGGACAAAACTACATATCTGGTTAGCCTACTCTTTGTGTTCAGACTTTCAAAGATCACCATACTTGTGGCAATCAGAACAACACCATCTGCAGCGCAACATGCGGTCTTTAGCATTCCTCCAGCGAATCTGGTAGCTGAAAACAGAGCAGTAGCATAGTAGCGTTACCCTTGAGCGTACGAATAGACTACTTAATCCCGCGCATGAATTTCAGGATGAAGATAGCCGATGAACTGGCTAAGGAGTGTGTCTATTTAGAAAAGGACGCAACGTCTAACCTTCGAATTTCATTCAATATAGTGAATAGACCCTGGGAACGAGCTAAGGACTGCAGAATCGCGAAAGACTCATAAAATCTGTACTATCTGTAAAGAAACCGGACTCCAGGCTGTTGATGGCACTCTTAACAGGGTAATGCCCTCTGGCGTCTCATGCGTATAATATAGGTCTGACTGAGGATATTAAATGTAGGAAAAGCCAAGAATGTGTGGAGACAGTGGAGCATGTAATCTGTGTGTGTCCGTCATTCGACAGACATAGGCTATATTGGCTTGGCGCAGAAAGGCTACAGGAACTGCAATCGATAATGGCCTAGGGGTCAGAATGACTACTTAAGTTAGCGAAAAGAGCAGCAATGTTCTTCACACTAGAGAAACAATATGAGTGTAGCAGCACAGCTTGGTTGCATGTAGTGTGCCTGGCAACACTCTGGATGGATTATCATCTATGTGAGACCCAATGGGTCAGCCAGCTTAACCTAGCCTAACAGCCTGCCCCATGCACAATAACTACCGTATAAAACGCGACTATAAGTCTTTAAATCCAGGACTAGTGTGCTTGAGGAATTTTAAAAATATGAATTATCACATTTATCCAATAGTAACAACAGAATGGACCAGGAGCTTAAAAAAGTACTATATAGCGTTCAGCATCCGAATATGGGCCATAATACCCTGCTGCAATCAAATAAAGAACAGTGTGGACCAGTACTCTTCGTGGCTTGACGAACACAAAGTAGCTGATTTCTTTCTTCCAATCACATGGAGTCTCCACTTTCTTTGTGTAAAAAATTGATAAGTAAGAAAAAATGGATTTCCTTTATTTTCAGATACATCTATAAACTACATGATCTGCACTTGCAAGCGGAGAACTTTACTGAAGCCGGCTATACGCTCAAACTTTACGCGAACATGTTAAATTGGGATCGTGAATCACTTTGTTATGCGCCAAACGATAATACCGGCCAGCCAGAGTGGCAACGAAAGGAACGGCTCTACCACGAGGTACATATATACTGCATTCATCAGTTCATTTCATTGCAATGTGTAAAAAATGCGCGGTCTTTACCTTTTCTTATAGATTTTAAAATATTTCGACAAGGGCAAGTGTTGGGAGAAGGGCATACCGTTATGCAAAGAATTGGCTGTGCTCTACGAAACACGTCGCTTCGACTATAACAAACTTAGTGAGATTCTAATATTGGAAGCGAAATTCTTCCAAAATATATTGACGCAGCTGCGGCCAGAGCCGGAGTATTTCCGTGTCGGTTTCTATGGACAGGGATTTCCGTTATTTGTGCGCGTAAGTATGATTTGATCATAAAGGATTTTTTTCTTTCCATATTTTACAAATACTTTTCCCTTCTCTTTCTCTTTACACACTTTGCAGAATAAACAATTTGTCTATCGTGGCCTGGAGTATGAACGTATCGGTGCTTTCACACAACGCTTACAAACCGAATTTCCTACAGCTCAGATTTTAACTAATAATAGTCCACCCGATAACTCGATCCTTACTGCTCCCGAACAATATATACAAATTAGTAATGTGCGACCAGTTGGTGATGCGCAGGCTTTGAAGACAGCAATGGTGCCAGTTCCAGAGAAAATCGCTAGATTCTATGAGGTAAGCACAGGTACAGGAGGAGTAGTAGGGTTGTGCCAAACGGGTAACTTGCCAATTACCAGCTACTACGAGGTAACATTGTTCAAAAAAGGTGAAGGAGAGGTCCATAAAAGCAATGCAAGGGCCGCAAGAACATTAATGTTATACCATACAAAAACATGGCCAGCGGGAATCATTATAACTGACAAATGCCAAACCGCACCGCACTGCCTGCTTATTGGGCCTTTCGGTAGCTATGAAAATAACCTCAAAAATGTCTTAGATGTCATTTTCCACTTCAGGGATTAGGAATTCCATGATAAGTAAGGCAATATATTAACTTATTTCATAGCGTGGACCCGCTAACAGGATTATAGCCGAATTTATAACATTGCGCCATTCATTTTTTTGTCGCCAATTGGATATACCAAGTAGAGCCAGGTCCCTCTCTCTCTCTGGTCTCTCCAACAGAGTGGAGGTCTTCTCCTTCCTCTACTTCCACTGGCGGATAATGCAGCGAAAACTTTCAAAACTGGAGTAATCTTTGCCGTCCGGATCACATGACCTGGCCAGCATTGCCGTTGTTTCTTGATTCGCTGAACTATGTCAGGTCGTCGTATATCTTCTGCAGCTCATCATTCCCTCGGCTGCGGTATTCTTCCTTGACAACACGTAGAGAACCAAAACATTTCTCACAAAACTCCATGCCTCCGCACCATATAGCAGGACAGAAGCAGTACGCAACTTGTAGAGTTTGGTATTGTTATATTATTTTCTCCAGCAATAAATTAAAAAAGTCACAGGATGAGAAACCACCCTGTCTAAAACCTCGTTTCCTGATCCTGTCGGAACTTTTAGTGTTGCTTAACGGCACTTTACATAGCCGTGTAAGTTTTGTGGTGATACCAAATGCAGACATAGCGACATAGAGGGTGCTCCTTTTCGTGCTATCGAAGGCTTCTTTAAAATCAACGAAGATGTGGTGTGTGTCGTTGAGCTTTTCACGGGTCTTTTCCAATATTTGGCGCATATTGAATATCTGGTCAGTGGTTAATTCACCAGGCTTAAAGCCGCACTAATAAGGTCCAATCAGTTAGTTAATGGTGGGCTTTACTCTTTCACACAAAACGCTCGATAAGACATTGTATGCAATGTTATGGAGGCTTATCCCACTGTAGTTGGCGCAGACTGTGGGGTCCCTTTTTCTTGGATTGGGCAGAGCACACTTGAATTCCAGTCGTCAGGCATGCTTTTATCTGCCCATATTCCCCAGAGTAGCGGAATCATGTACCTTGAATAGCTCTGCCGTCAGCTCCACAGGCTTTGTTGTTCTTTAGGCGGACAATCGCTATTCGAATCTCGTCATAGTTGAGTTATGGAATCCTTTTCTACCGTCATCGACTGGAATTTTGGTTCACCATCTCCTGATGTTTCATTTTCACAGCCGTTCAGCAGGCCGGAGACGTGTTCCCTTCATAAATTTAGTATGCTCTGATCAACGGCTACCTGATCACCCCTCTGGGTCTTTTGAGAGTCTGCTCCGATCTTGAAACCTTCTGTAAGCCGTCGTTTCCGTTCATAGAATTTTCGAACATTATCCTTGTCGACTAGTTTTTCAAGCTCTCTATAACCATGCATCTCGGCCCCCTTTCTTTTTCTTTTTGTCTGCAAATGCGTCTTGCTTCCCTATTCAGTTCACGGTGTCTATACCATCCCGCAGGTGTTGTGGTTGATCTTAATGTGGCGGGGAAGGCAGCCTGCTTTCTCTCCAGTCCTCATCGTACCAGCTGTTTTTGCTTCCTTTCCAAAGTCTAATAGTTTCGTTTACAGCTCTACATAAGGAGCTTGATAAGTATGCTCCTATGTGTGTGACAGAAACTTAAGGTCTACATATTTTAAATGACGCAATTCGTCAAGCGGTGAATATGTTAAGGAGACCAATGCTGAGCTTAATTAGAAATTTTCGGCAGTTGACCCACTAAGACTGCTGTCTTTAAACTCTATATGTAGAAAAGGGTTTGTCCTGAATGACTGACGGATGAACGCATAGCCTAAACCTCTGTTCGCATAAACCTGAAACTAGGAGAATGTGTTCTGGGTATGATGTAGGGGGCTTTCAACAACATATTTTACCGGTTGCTGTTAAATCTGCTTTGGGTCTAGGGTGAGCCAAGAAGAAGCAAGGCAGAATATCAGCTATCCACTTACGAGAGCGTAGGTACGCCCCAAGGAAACTGGTAGAGTATGTACAGCGTATGACGTAAGTATCCGATAAAAAGGATTTTCCGTGATGTGATATGGGGAAATCTGTTCTTTAATTTTTACACCTATAGTTTGTAATTTATTAAAAAAAAATAACTTCGAAAACTTAAAAGAAAACTTATTAGTTTCTCATATAAATTGCATATTACTGTTATTTCTCCCACCAAAGGTCAACGACGTGACACGTTTCATCTACGATCGCCCCATCTATAAAGGTCCCATAGACAAGGATAACGAATTCAAGTCTCTGTGGATCGAACGGACCAAACTAGAAATATCCAATCCACTTCCCGGCATACTGCGTTGGTTCGAGGTGAAACAAAAGACAGTCCACGAAATCACACCTGTCGAATTTGCCTGCGAAACAATGAATAACGTGGGCAAAGAATTGTGGGATCTCATTGTGCAATATCGCAGCGATCCAAAGCGTAACATAAACCCCTTCTCGATGCGTCTGCAGGGCATAATCGATGCCAATGTGATGGGCGGTATAAGTAAATATCAGGAGGCATTTTTCTCCGAGCAGTTCCTTAAATCGCCACAGGGTCATGGCCAACAGGCAAATGTGCAAAAGCTGAAAGCGCTCATTTTAGAGCAAATACAAGTGCTTGAACAAGCTTTAGAACTACATGGTACACTGGCGCCAGCGGGGGTGCAGCCACTGCATAATCGCCTGCTGGAACGTTTTTCACAACTGAAACAGAGCCTATCCGGCTTGGGACGCCTAAAGCGTCAGCATTCGGAGAGTATAGTAAATACTCCCCTACCACCATTACCAACAGAGAATCGTGCCATGACGCTGGGTAACCCAAACATGTACACGGGCGCTTCGAATTATTATGGCGTCTATGAGCAAGATGATATTTATACACGTCCGGGTGATACATTGCGACCGGTCGAAGCCGCAAATACCTTGCTTATAAATAACTCATACCAAACTTTGAGCAATGAAAGCATGAGTATACCGGAAGTAACGCGTGATAAAGTGCCACCGGTGCCGAATCGACCGCGCTCGCAGAATTTCATGGCTAACTTGGATGGGCCCGAGGTACCACCTAAACGCAACCCCAATCAGCCGAGCTCACCTAGCGCGCCGCCGCTACCACCACGTGGCATAACACCGGATAAACGCGCTTCAAATCCTTTGGCTAATATTAATGATTTTTCCAACAGTCATTACCCCACTGCTGGCTCCATACCACGTCGACCCGTATCGGCACACCATCAGCAGCAGCAACAACAACAACAGCAACAACACGAGCACGGTCAGAAATATTCCGTCGTCGATATCAGTTTCGATGACCCCGAAGCAGATCAACCGCCACACACCCAAACCAGTGTTGGCGAGACCTCCACACACAATGCGGTCGCCAGCTGTGGCTATGGCCCAAATGATTTTCGAGACTCCGGCATTTCCACAACGAGTTCACATGAGCTAAATAATTTGAATAACCTCAGTGAAGAGTCGTCCAGCAACTCACTAAGCACCGTACACCATCGCGATCACTGTCGCATGACATCGAATGGTAGTTTGGACAGCGCGTACACCATCAACGCTACACTAAATATTAGTCAACGTGAAAATTCAGCAAACTCCTTTGACATCGAAGATCTACCAATGCCACCTCCACCACCCATACCACCAAAATCGCTTAATATTATCGCCTCCACAGACTCCTCTTCCCTTGACGAGCAGCATTCGCCGCTGCCCAAAGCAAATCAAATTCACTCGGCAACTGCTCATCATTCGCACACGCATTTACCAAATCAATCATCCAATAATTTGCAACAAAATTTAAATCACATCAGTCATAGTCAGAATTGTCCACAGAATGGCATTGGCGCTAACGGAAACTATTTGGCATCCAAAAAGAGTGACGCCAGCGGTGGGAACAATGCAAACGCTAGCGCCAGCCCCAACGCCAGCGCTACCAACATCAATGAAATCCCCAATGATGGCGGCACTTTTTGAGTTGCAATATGTCGCTGCCATCAGCCGGTACTGCGGCCCCTAGCGCCACTCGCACCACTCGCACCACTATCGCTGCCATCGACTACAACGACTGAGACGGAAACGGAGACCTCATCAACGACACAAACACCTTCACCAACAACAACATCACCACCACCACCACCACCACCGCTGCCGCCACTACTACGCTCCACACAAAACAGAGCACACATAGCAGCTGGTCACACATTATGTCGACCATGCAAGACACCAATCAAAAGCGTAAGCACCAACACCTCATTGTCATCATTACCGACTAACAACCAAACTGAATTGCATTCATCATTAACACAACCATACCAACAACAACAACTTTACAATCATCATAATCATCATTATAACAGCACTACACATTATTGTCACGACTGTCTCTCCTCACCATCACCACCACCATCCGTTACGGCAACCACCATAACAGAACAGGCAGTAGTGCATGCATCCTCGTCGCTATCCTCATTGCTTACACCACCACCATTGCCACCGCTACCAACGCTTCATGTGCCATCCAAGCCAACAATACAAATTGAGACCTCAACGTCAGCACCATTGCTGGAACATTGTTCCTGTGGCTTGACATTCACTGTGGAACCTGTGGAGGCTATCTACGAATTGTCACCGCGTGCTGTGCACTTTGAATCGCCCATTCAGTCGACTACACCACAATATGGCAGCCAAAGTGTATACAGCAGTACTAGTAGTAATGTATATGAATATGAACAATCGACAACGAATGATTCTAGCGAAGATTATGCGAGTCGCATGCAAACTCAGGTGACACACATACATGCACGTTGTTGTCAACATGCGAGAAGTAATGCGCATGCACAAACAGAATTCGTTTATGAACAGCGATGATGCTGAATTTTGATTAAGGAATTTAGGAATGCAGGAAGGAAATTGAATTTTTCGAACGTGAAATTTATAATCTAACAAAAACCAAACAACTATGAGACCAAATGGCATTCGAATGCATAAGAATTGAAATGTATTAATCATCTAAATATATGTATAATTGTAGAACATTAAGGAAAAATTGAATACTGTGTAACTAAAGTTGTATTTTTAAATTAGTATCAAATTCGTAACTGTAATTATAGTTTTGTTTGTTCTTCGGAAATTTGTAAAAATACATATACAATACATATATATATATATAATCTCAAAACTTTTTATATGCATAAGTAAAAACTAAATATTCAAAAGCGTCTTTTACATTTAATTAAATTTCATGCCATAAAAAATGCTTATCTGCGAGTTCTTGGGTGGTGTACAAGGCTCCAGTTGGATCAATCAAACGAGTCGTTGGCCACATACGTGTATATGTATATATTTCTAATATATAAAATTCTCGTATCACAGTACACAGACACGATACTCCTCCGAAACGGCTTGACCGATTTTAATAAAACTCCATGTGCATATTCAGTTGGTCTGAGAATAGCGTAAGATCTATTTTTCACACACCTCAGTGATAAGGGTACCACCCCTAAATTTTTTGTTTGATATTTTGAATACAATTTTTTTTTTTTAATTTTTATATGATGTGACATTTCAAAATATTTATTGCCCTAAATTTTCATCCTTCAATTTTTTACCAGCCAAAAATTTTCTTCCCAGTTTTGGTCAAAATTTTCTTATGCGAAACCGCTCGGCTACGGTTTCAAGCTATTCTTATGCGTTCAAGCATAGATTCGATTATAATTTACGTGTCGGCTTTGAGTAGCGAGGAATATAATAAAAAAAAACTTATTACTGGGTATTATGCGATGCTTGATAGGGGTTTTTGTGGCCTGGTCTTCCAGTTTATATATATCTACCACTATCTGCTATCGAAATCACCACGCAGCAAGAATGGTCACTTCCTCGGACCATATACGTGTTTGCAAGGAAAATCTATCACCATTTCAAAGCTGTAAATGCTTCGTTTTGTAACATACATCGTGAATTAGAAGCTATCTGGAAAAAGTTCTTGGTCACTTAAAATGTTACTAATATAAAGCGTCATTGTATTGCTACTTGTCCTGTAGTTTGATTCAATGCTTGAAATGTTTTTATTAAGACCTGTTTCCTTTAATCTCACCTAAAATGTTAGGTTACTCTGTTTTAAGATACGCAACATATAGACATGTTATTTCTCACGAATATATATATATATATAATTGGTGCTTTGTAACCGCTTGAACGATTTTCGGCCGAGCTCCTCCTCCAGTTTGTGGTTTTGCGTCTTAATGTTTTTCCAACAGATGGAGGGACCTACAGCTTATACTAAGCCGCCTCCGAAAGACTGATGGTTTTTTATAAGGAGCCTTTATTTCATGTCCGAAATACACTCGGAGGGGTGGCACTCACTACCGAGGGGTGACCGCAATTAGAAAATTTAACTATAAGTTTTTGAATTTTAGTACGAGACCAGGAATTGAAGCCGGGCTTTCCGAATGGCAATACGAAATACTAACCACTCGTCTGCCGCGACGGTCGTGATATTAGACAAAACATTTTTGAGGAAAACAGCCTGGATTACTTAAGTTCAAGACCCTTTCGCAAACTCCTCAGAGATTCATTAAAATAAAATTAAAATAAAAGAATAAAAAATATTAAAATATCAATGAAAGGAAATAAAGAATATAACAAACTAAGATGAAATACAAAATTAGAAAATATTAATATTGTAACAATCAAAATGAAATTAAATTAAAATAAAAGAAATTAAAATATTTAAAATAGTAATGAAGGGAAATGAAAATAAATAAAACAAAATCAGATAAGACACAAAAATATGAAATATAATAACGAATAAAATTGAATTCAAATAAAACAAAATGAAATAAAAAATGACAAAATGAAAATAATATCAAAAAAGCAATGAAAGGAAATGAAATATAAATCCAATAAAATAAAGTAAAATAAATAAAAATATTGAGCTTGCAATGAAGGGAAAAAGTAAAAAATAAATAAAATAAGACAAAATAAAAACAATATTATAATAGTAACGAGAAAAGAATAGAATAAAATAAACTGCAGCAAAATGAAGAAAAATAATGAAAAGTAAAATAAAAAGTAAGACAAATTATATAACATAAAATTAATTAAAATTAAATTTAAATAAATCGAAATTAAACAAGATAACATTAAGTTAATAAAATGAAACAAAAAATTATAAAATAAAAATAAAAATAACAAAATAGCCATTGAAGGAAGTAAAATATATGAAAATAAACTGAAACTTAATAAAATAAATTAAACAAAATAACATAAAATAATCAAGTAAAAAGTTGAAAATTAAATTAATTCCAGTACAATAAAATGATTCAAAAGAAAAATATTAATAATAACAATAAAATAATTAAATTAAAATGAAATAAAATAAAATAAAATAAGATAGAATAATTATAAATAAATTAAATTTAATAAAATTTTAATAAAATAAATTACTACTATAAAATATAATAAAAATATTTAATACGGGATAAAATAAAAATATAAAAATAATACATAATAATATTATAATAGCTATGAGAAAAAAATTAAATGAACTGCAACAAAATGGAGAAAAATAATGTAAAATAAAATAAAAAGTAAGACAAATTGTATAACATAAAATTAATAAAAATTAAATTAAAATAAATCGAAATTAAACAAGATAACATTAAGTTAATAAAATGAAACAAAAAATTACAAAATAAAAACAGATAAAATAAAAATAATAATAATGAAATAGCAATGGAAGGAAATAAAATAAAATAAAATTAACTGAAACTTAATAAAATAAATTAGACAAAATAACATAAAATAATCAAGTAAAAAAGTGAAAATTAAATTAATTCCAATACAATGAAATTAGTCAAAAGAAGGATATTAATAATAAAAAATAATTAAGTGATATAATTAAATTAATGTAAAATAAAATAAAAAAATTGTTAATGAAATAAATTAATTTAATACAGGATAAAATAAAAATATAAAGTTAATTGAAATGAAATAAATATATTAAATCAATTAAAATCAACGATGAATGTGTAAAATATAATTGAGTAAGTTGAGATAAAATTAAAATAACTAAAAATGAAAAGTAGCAAAATGATATAAAACAAACAAAGAAGAGTAAGCTCGGACGAGACCGTACATCTGATACCGGGCTGGGATATTCATATTAAGTACACAACTGAGTCAAAAATAGAATTTCTGGTCTTATGTTATCCATTGTTGTTTGACTCAAGATTGAAACCAAACTCGGTAGATATGCTTATTTTGATGGGTCCAAAAGTGCAATATTTGATTGATTGATAATATAAAAATGCAATATTTTGCACCCATCGAAATAAATATATCCACTGAGTATGGTTGAATTGTATTGATTAATGCTTTAAAATTTCAATCTTTGGTCAAACAGGGAGTGAAAAGTCAAAAAATCAGCTGTGTGAGGCAAACGCATAGTTGCTATAGTTGTTATAGCGATTGCGGATATATTCCAAATAGCTTAAACAACTTCGTAGATGGCAGGAATTATAATAGATTTTCAACTTAGTCTCATTTGCATTGGTGTCCGCACTTGCCACCCAAGGAATGTGCAAACCAAGTTTAATCGAAATATCTTAAGAAATTACATATACTCGTACGTTTGCTTACAGATATATGTGTCGATATATTGTCTCGATTACTATGTGCCGTTTCATGCACTGTTAGCTGAACAAATCCCAAGTATCCAGCCGAGTTTAATGTATTATATTAGAAGAAAAAGGGAAAAATAACCACAAATGTAGGTAGAGTTATATAGAATATTATTATTATTATATATACTATTATGGGATATATAATATAAAAACATATATAAATATACGAGTATAAAACTTCAAGTTTCAATCGTCATAAGGCAGAGTTTCCTTTCAAAACATTATGATGATTTCTACAAACAGTCTTGAAAGTATTCGACTCGGAATTTTTGCTATTTTTTTTTTTTTTTTTTTTTTTGTATAAATGAGTTTTAGTAATGAAAGCAATGAGTTACTAACTACACAAAAGGTGAAATAGTTTTAAGCAATCAATAGGAAGTCATTAAAACAGTCAAGGAATTAAAAAAAAAAAAAACATTGAAAACATCTCGGCAAATTGACGCACATTATAAAAATAAAGGGAACACAAAAAAAACAAAAGAATAAATTTTTACTTATGAACAAGCATTTTAATAAATTTAGTATGATACACACTAAAATACATATGTACATATTTACAATATTGCTCATAAGCGCATATAGAGGAGCTAATCAAGACATACCTACTCGTCTGTATGTATGTAAGTATGTATGTAACTAATCGAAACGATAAATATTTAACTGCCATAGAATTGTGAGAAGCGAATTGAATTTTTCTTCATGAAAAATACTACTACAAACAATTTCATATAGAGGAATGCGTACACATGCATACATATATAAGCACACGTAATTACAAAGATAATTATATGCAAAATACATAAATACTCTTTTATGCATACATATGTACATACATGCATGCATGCATAAGAATAAGCTAATTCTAGTCTCACAGCAACAAAATCATACAAATTACTAAAGAAATTTTGAGTATAAAGAATGAAATTGAAAGTTGTGAAAATTGCAAGTAATTGCAGTAACGAAATCAAAGTTCTTCTAACATTAAAACAAATAAGCATTGAATAAGACAAAAATAAAATATATATACATATATATACATTTAAATTTAAGAAACATAAACTTTCTTAAAAAAAAAAAAATATGGTAATAAGTGGAAACGTAATCAAAACACCAATCAACACATTTTATATACTTACATACATATAATAAATTAATAAATAGTTATATACACTACATATTACTTACATATACAAAATTATTACAAAAAAAAACCAAAAAACTTGTAAATTAGTAAAAAAAAATAACGAATTATGGAATATACGTATGTACGTACTCACTCAAATGCGCAATACATACATACATATGTGCAGTACACATTGTGAAAGAAAGTGTCATCAATTTAAAAGAAAAGCCATATATGCAACAACTCATACGCACATACACAACAATAGGTATTTCAACTAAAATATATATATATATATAATTTTTTAAGTAAAATTAAAAAAAAAAATTCTATAATATAAACGAAAATTTCTTTTTTAATATTTACCAATTAGAAATTCGTTTAATATTCATTACAAATCATATTTTAGTTTATTATAAACTGTAATCCATTGATATATGCACATACATACATATACATATATCGACTAGTCAAGTGTCTTTAATGCGTATCGATAAAATAACGTCAAGCGCTTTGCTGCCGAACAATTCATACAAGCATGATTTGGTAACTTTTTTTGTAATAAAAGTATTTTCTCATAATTTTTGCTAACATGCGTATGTATGTTTGTATATGAATATAGATTATTTAATAAATACTTCAATGTACTATATCCTGGAAGAAATAAAATAATTGAAATAATGCAAGAGTTTAATTTTTATTTCATTTTGCTAAAAACTTCCAAATATTGGGTTGCCGCAAAAGAAACCGGTGAATTTTTAAAAGAAAGTAAATTCATTTTTTTTAAGGAAATTTCGTCAATTATGAATTTCCATTTAGTTGAATGACCTTTCACCATCTTTCCGGCAACTGGATTATTACGTGTGCGATTTTATAGCCCCGTCATTTTCGAAAAATTTACATTGCAAGATCAGGGCTATATGGTGGATGCATTAACAGTTCCCAGCCAAACTCTCTCAGCTGTGCAAAGATGTTTGCGGTCTAGCATTGTCCTGAGTGCACGAGTATATGAGAATATGACGCCTTTACGATTGACCAATTTGATGGATGTGTTCAATTTGACCAGTCGTTCACAGTAGTCATCAGAATTAATCGTTTGGTTCCTTATAATCAGCTCAAAATATACCACACCCTTCCGATCTCACCAAACTAGCAGAAAAATCTTCTTTTGGTGAATGTCATCCTTTGAAGTGGTTTCTATCGCTTCATCATGCTAAACATGATCGTTTTCGATTGACGTTAAAGCAAATTCATAATTCATTTTTCATCTCCACTTATGATTTGCTCCCAAAACGGATCATATTCATTGGTTTCTAACAGGCCTATTCTCACTGTTACCGGTAAATTAAATTGAATTTGGTACTCTGGTGAACTGGTTCAATGTTTGAAAAAAGTTTGGCAGCACTGCTTTTTTCGTCCATGTCAAATTACATTTGCCAGTTGATAAAGTAAAAACCAAAATATTTACATCGAAATGGAAGACGGTGCACAAAAAAAATAAAAAGTTGTATTAATTTGTTTATTAAATCATAAATATTTGAACCTAATTATGGAACATATGCCTGGACAACAAAAACAGCTGAATGAAAACGTTTTCTTACAAATTAAAGGATTATTTTTCAGTCTCGAAAACTTCTTAAAATGCGGCTTTTTGCACTTTTTTCTTCATCTTCAATGAATTCCAGGCCTTATATATGCCTACCCATTTTGGTTTTTTTATTTTGTCTCAAGCTAACAACACAAAATCAAACAGCAGATATTTTTTTTTACCTCCTATTTCGCTGGTAACAAAATTTACAGGGTAACAGTAAACTCAGAATACGAAATGGTAACAAAATTTACTGAATGGTAAACCTGGCCTGGTAACGTTAATAGTTCTCTTCGTTGATCAGATGGGCAGTAAGAATTTTTACCAAACTTTACTGAATCTGGTTTATTCAGCCAAAAACATAAAAAATTAGTAACAAAGCAAAAATTATTTGAAATGAAAGTGAAATTTCTTACGAATGACAACTGAAATGAAAAACGGAATCGGGCAGGTGATCTCAGATGCGGGGTCGAACCTAAAACATAAGTTAAGTTTTTCTTATGTGAGGCTGTGCAATATTTCAACAGTTGCTGCAATCAAACTGGTTGGCAGATTCCGATCATTTTTGGCATTGTAATTAAGGACAGTGCTACCAAATTAACAAAAAAGTGCTGACAAATATTCAGCGCGGGCAGCTTAAATGACAATTTCCGGAAACTTTCTGGTTACATAGTATATTCAAATAAAAAATGTAGGTATTAAGGTATGTATTGGGTTGCCCAAAAAGTAATTGCGGATTTTTCATATAGTCGTCGTTGACTAATTTTTTCAACAGCTTGTGACTCTGTAATTGCATTCTTTCTTCTGTCAGTTATCAGCTGTTACTTTTCGCTTGCTTTAGAAAAAAGTGCGCGAAATTTTGTTTACATTTGTTTGTTTGGCGTCAATTTTAATATGGAGCCCACAAAGGAGCATTTTCGTCATATTTTACTTTATTATTTCCGTAAAGGAAAAAACGCGGAGCAGGTTGCTAAAAAGTTACGAGATGTGTATGGTGATGAAGCCTTAAAAGGAAGACAGTGTCAAAATTGGTTTCGCAAATTCCGTTCTGGAGATTTTTCACTTAAAGATGAGCCACGTTCAGGTCGGCCAAATGAAGTTGATGATGACCAAATCAAAGCATTAATCGAATTGGATCGTCATGTAACTGAGCGTGAGATAGGAGAGAAGTTAAATATACCAAAATCAACCGTTCATTATCACATAAAAAGTCTTGGACTGGTGAAAAAGCTTGATATTTGGGTACCACATGTATTGAAAGAAATTCATTTAACACACCGAATCAACGCTTGTGATATGCACCTTAAACGCAATGAATTCGATCCGTTTTTAAAACGAATCATAACTGGAGATGAAAAATGGATTGTTTACAACAACGTTAGTCGAAAACGATCATGGTCCAAGCATGGTGAACCAGCTCAAACCACTTCAAAGGCTGATATCCACCAAAAGAAGGTTATGCTGTCTGTTTGGTGGGATTGGAAGGGTGTCGTATATTTTGAGCTGCTTCCAAGGAACCAAACGATTAATTCGGATGTTTACTGTCAACAATTGGACAAATTGAATACAGCCATCAAGGAGAAGCGACCAGAATTGGTCAATCGTAAAGGTGTCATATTCCACCAGGACAACGCTAGACCGCACACATCTTTGGTCACTCGCCAAAAACTGAGTGAGCTTGGCTGGGAACTTTTGATGCATCCACCATATAGCCCTGACCTTGCACCATCAGACTACCATTTATTTCGATCTTTGCAGAACTCCTTAAATGGTAAAACTTTCGGCAATGATGAGGCTATAAAATCGCACTTGGTTCAGTTTTTTGCAGATAAAGGCCAGAAGTTCTATGAGCGTGGAATACTAAATTTGCCAGGAAGATGGCAAAAGGTTATCGAACAAAATGGCAATTATATATTTGAATAAAGTTCATTCTAAGTTTTATTAAAAATGCATTTACTTTCTTTTAAAAAATCCGCAATTACTTTTTGGGCAACCCAATAGATATTTCTTGAGATACTTTCTCTTTACTTATATTTACTTACGCATAAAATAAACATTCCAGAAATATGCATGTAGATGTAACATAGAAATATTTTATTAATAATTGTGTGCAGTTAAAAAATATGTAAACATAAATATATTCTCTGAAACAATTTGAGATTTCATTAAATCTTATTAATACCAGTTAATTCCTTCAGGTTATTAATCAAATATTTGTTGTAATCTTTGTAATCTAGCGGAGCAACCGACTGTACCGTCAACTTATTACGTTGCATATCCTAGAAGCAGAAATTTTAAAACATTTGATAAGCAATAAATCACAGGTGCAACAATATCTTATTCCTTACACCAAACATTTCCATTTTGCTGCGTAATTTAAAAATGTACGAATTAAAGTTGATGGAAGACAGCACTTCTTCACCTTCCGGTGGATTATTTTCCAGCAGATCACCAATCTCTTGTGCGGAACGTTTCAACATTTGTTCACCCACTTCACTAAAGCAAGTAACCCAACGATTCGAAGTCCAATCGCCAATGCTCATCTGTTTAGTAAATGTATAAATATTTACCCTTATCATTAGGTTGTATAGAAAGCGAAAAGTTTTTACTTACATTTATTAAAAGTCGATACTTGAAATTGGGGAAAACCGCATTACATCGCTCGCAACGATAATGTCCATTGTTCTCATCAATAACCTTTTTATTACAATCCTGTTGAGGACAAGCTTTATAGAACGCATTTTGGCTTTTAACAATATGCACCACGGCTTTGCATTGAAAGTAGTCTGGCTTATCGCCTGCGCCTAAATTACGGTCGCGGGCCTCATGGAATGTTAACCACTCTGTGCTAAATCCACCGCCAGCGCCAGCAGTTCTGATTTAATAAATTGTGTGATAAAACTAAAGATTACTTATTTAGAATATTAAAAAAAAAGACAAACCTGGTTGAAATCATTGTTGAGATATGCTCGCCACCACCGTTATCGAACCAACCTCGTAGCTTATGACCTTCCGGTATATCGGGATTTATTTTCATAACAGCTCCATTACCCATTTGTATACTTTTGCCGCCATTATATTCATTCACACGCGCTCCTTTTACCAAAATCACCGGTTGGACGTAGCCATCGAAGTTAACAGCATCATCACCCCAAAGTGTTAAAGTCACCTAGAAATATCCAACGAGTTGAATTTAAATTTCCCTTTTTTGATATTATTTCAACTTACAGCAGTGTTGCTTGAATCTACAAGCGTTAGCTCGCGCTTTTTGAATTCTTTATTGGTGGTTCGTGAAGTGAACGACTGCAGTTCGCCAACTTCTTTACAAATGCCAATTGTATCTAAGGGAAAATAACAATATATAAACTATTGCTTATTCCTAAATTATATATGCGCTCACCGACGCTAGTACGTGGTTCAAGGTTAGCCAGTTGGGATATGGGCACCAAATCGTATTTTATTTCTGGTATATCATTATCATCCTCTTCGCAAGCTTGAATCTGTGTTTCGCCGGTGAGGGTCATTTCGTAATCATTTTTTAGCGAACTAAATTGCTTATTTGCAGGCTTTAGCTGACATTTAGATATATAATATACCCTGTCAACTTCTATTAAATCGTAGAATTTCTCTGCCGTTTCCTTGAAAGCGGTAGCACGTATTTCCCCCGATTCGTCCATTAAATCCATGCTGAACAGTTTGCCTTCGCCTTTAGCATTGCTCCATGTACGCATTGGTCCCTTGGTCATTACACGTGCTTTTATTACCCATTTATTTTGATATGGACTTAGACTTGAGATAGGAACGGTAAGTCCTGAATTTAGAGATTGGTTCAATGAAATATTGTTGTTGTTGTTGTAAAGGGATGGTTTGGTCTCTTTTCTTGCATTGTTGATTGGAGCAGTAGGTTTAGTGGTTGCACTGGAACTACTAGCATTTGCTTTATTGCTTTGCGATGCGGCTTCTTCGGTATAAGAAACTGGTGTTCCGATTTTTCCTCCAACTTCTGCTCCAGGATTTAAAACAGTCAGCTCAAGTATGATAAGCACACGCCTTTCAGATCAATTTGATAATAAAACACATTCGAACAAACAGAAAAATAAGACATACTTCCCAGTATCCTTGCCATTAACCACAGATGTAATGTACTTATCCACCTGGACTATGGTATACTCGGAAAGTTTGCCCTCTGCATGCAAATGGTTCAGTTGTGTAGCTAACATGGAATAACTGTTGATAAATTTCCCATCTGAAATTAGTAAGCGCAAACGATCCGTTTCACCTCCAGTTATTTTCTTTGTACCTAGAATTTGTAAGACCGGCTTGTCCACATCTTCGCCTCGCATTATACGCTATTTAGAAAAATCCAAGGTAAAAAAATATATTTCACATTTAAACACTGCGTAGTTACCTCTATAACGCCTGTGGATAAAGGAGCTACGCCCGGCATGCTTTATTCAATTTGAAACGAAAATATAAGGGAATAATGTTGAAATAAAACTTATTTAATTTCTTTAATTTTAAAAAATATTTCACAATTAGATCAAATGCACTGCACTTTTTGCGAACACCAAAGCAAATTCGCAGACGCTGTCAATCGATTTTAAAACAGGCGGGAATATAATATTGTAATTCACAATAGATATATATTAGATGAAAGTTATGAATTGTTTTCATTTATTTAATTAATTCCTTAATTGCAATCCTATTTATCATCATGTAATCCTTATTCTTTAGATTAATATATTGTCTCAAAGGACGGAAATAGAATTTTAATGTATTTGCCCAAAGAATGGTTGAAAATAAGTTGGAGATATACAAACATTTTAATTCAATAATAATTTTTCAATAGTAAAATATTTTTTTCATCCTTATATTCGTCGCTGTGAAATTGGTTATGTTTCACATTTGTTTTTTCAACCTCTGGATGACTGTTATTTTCATTTGTTTATGGATATGTAAATGTAAATATTATATATTTACATAGATGTAATGACAATTAAAAAAAATCCTTTAAACACTTGCAAAGGGGAAGAGATTGAGAAATTAAAATGAAATGGAATGGCACGAAATTTCTCAAACATGTTTTGGTTCAGAATGGCATATATGAATCTTTAACTATTTGTTCCGTTCAGTGGTGGGTAATAACAAATATTACCTCAATTTACGGAAACGCGTTAGGTAAAAACTCAGTTAATATTTCTCTTTTTTACACGTCCAGTTTCGTTACTGACTTTTCTCACCGAACAGAGCCGATGTTAACAGCTGTTTTTTTCCATTGTGATGTGACATCTCTATTGACAACAATTTATTTGCGGAAAGGGATATTGAAAAGCTGATTAAGATATGGTAATTATTTATAAATTAAACAATTTATATATATGTAGTAATAAAACCTTATTTTTATAGGCACGAAATGCAGAAAAAGCAATGTAAGAAATAATCACTTTAAAACCGAGAAATATACAACTAAAATATTATTTTTCCAAACTTTTAGGACAACATTGGCTCGTTGGCGTGCCGCCAAAGAAGCTGAATCTGGAGAGAAAGACAGGCGTCCATACTTGGCATCAGAATGCTCAAGTTTACCGAAATGTGAAAAATATCGCCTGGAAATTATACGAGAAATTTCTAAAAAGGTTGCACAAATACAAAACGGTTAGTGAAGAAATTATCTTAAAACTGCTTACATTATTTATTCTCTCGTTATTTTGTAGCCGGTTTAGGAGAATTCCGGATACGAGATTTGAATGATGAAATTAATAAACTGCTACGCGAAAAGCGACACTGGGAAAATCAGATCTCAGCTTTGGGTGGACCACATTATCGGCGTTACGGCCCAAAAATGTTTGACGCAGAAGGACGAGAGGTTCCCGGAAATCGAGGCTATAAATACTTTGGAGCTGCAAAAGATCTTCCCGGTGTACGTGAACTATTCGAACAGGAACCACCAGCTCCTCAAAGAAAAACACGAGCAGAACTAATGAAGGATATTGATGCAGAATACTATGGTTATCGAGACGATGATGATGGCACGTTAATACCAATAGAAGATCGCATTGAACGTATAGCTATACAAAAAGCTTTACATGAATGGAAAGAGAAAATGTCACGTGATGGTCATATAGATGAAGAGGAGGAAGAAGAGATTTATGGTTCTTTGAAAGCTACTAATGATGATACTGCAGAAACAGGTGATACTGAAGACATGATTGCAAGTACAACGGCTGTGACTGATCCGTTGGAAATGTTAGCACCGCGTTTTACTGCCCATGTTCCAGTTCCAACTCAGAAAGATATAGAGGAAGCTCTGTTAAAGAAGAGAAAACAAGAACTGCTTGAAAAGTATGTGGGAACTGATTGAATAATTGTTGTTATTTCTCTTGCTTGTACATATTTTGGAAATAGTCCTAGGTGGAGTTTCTAAAATTTGTAAAATATAATATATAAATTTTTGTACATGAACTACCCGTTCTTTTTAAAATATATTTTTAAAGATCACAAATTTGCATGGCTTATTACTTGATGAGGTTCATTTACTAATTTTATGATAATATTAAAATGAAATTAATTTTTAAAACTCAGAAGTTAACTTTGTGGATTTTAAGGGATTTAAAATTCCCTCTTCAGTTGAATTTAAAACATGACAGCACTCTTGAAAAATGTCATTTTGTTGTCAAATATGGCAAGTCTTCTTCTTCTCCCCAAATCAACACCGCTTTAGAAGAAGAAAGAAAATTTTTGCAAGTACGCACTTGGTGTAAAGAAAAAGTGATAAAAAAACGACAGCAGGAAGCAATTAACAGTGAAAAATATATAATTTTATAAAGAGAACGTTATCAAGATGCTAGCACTAATAAACAGAATATTGGATTGGTTTAAGAGTATTTTTTGGAAAGAAGAAATGGAACTGACGCTAGTGGGATTACAGTTTTCAGGAAAAACAACATTCGTGAATGTTATTGCTGTGAGTATCGTGTGAAAGTGTGAAAGCAAAATTAATTTTTCAACCACCCACCTAAGTTCCTCCTCATTTGAAAACGTATAAGAAAAAGTCAAATAACCACACAAACGTGCGTGTGCATTAAAATTACCTCGCCTTTTTTTCCTTCTTTAAGCGATACAAATATTCTCTTTGACCACCAACCGATGGCACTCCCCACCGAAAAATTTTCTAATACTGCTCATCACTATTGTTGTAATTGATATTGGTCTGCGTCACTGCCCCTGTAGCAGTCATCGCACTTTGTAGCTATCAAACTACAAACAATTGGTCGTTTGTTCACTGATTTGTTTATATGTTTATATTGTAATTCATATTAATTTACACTAATTATACCAAGGGATTAGTTACTTTCTTGCTATTGAAATACCATACGAAATGAAATTCGCAAAATTTTAGAAGCAAAGTAGGTTTTAATACAAATCAATAATCGTCTTGTCATCTGATCGCTTACATCTACTTCACGTCTCCTCTCCAAGAACATCTGCTTTTTTTACGCTTCAATTTGCTTACTATTAACATATATGTTTATATTCCTAAATGAGCAATATATATATATAGGTATGTACATCTATAAATATAAATTAAAAAAAACTTTAGAAACAAGACTAGCTAAGGCAATGACAGGAAACTCGAATGTATAATCGCTAATTATGTAAATCCAATACATTAATTATACTGCTCCAAAAACTGCTAGTGATGCTACGTTGATTTTTTAACAGAAGTTTTAATATAAATCATTGTCTTTGGTAAAATTTACTCCCTCTTTAATATTTAACGATAAGGCAATGACTCATTTGCTTTTGCTTTTGTTACATTAGTTGGCGATATAAGACCTCACTGTAATGGCTGTGATCCACTGTGTACATACATATAATATGAAGATATGTATATAAATGTGTAAATGCTCCTTGTTTAATACTCGACTGATCTCAATAAATAAAATCTTTTTAATAAACAAAAGTAGTTTTTTTTTATCAGCAAACAAAACATGAATTGCCGATATAATAAAAGACTCGTATTTATTTTCACATCTGTACCGTTGCGGTTATTTAGGGTCGGTTTTCGACAACCACTTTCATACATACATAAACATATTTGTATATATACATATGAATTAAACATTAAATAACTTTTTTTTATATTTTATTTTTATAGTCTGGACAATTCGCCGAAGACATGATTCCAACTGTAGGCTTCAATATGCGTAAAATCACCAAAGGCAATGTTACAATTAAAGTTTGGGATATCGGTGGGCAACCGAGATTCCGATCGATGTGGGAACGATACTGTCGCGGTGTGAATGCAATTGTGTAATTATTTAATTTAATGTTAGTTAATATATTACCTAATATTCACTAATTAAAAAATGCATTAGGTATATGGTGGATGCCGCAGATTTGGATAAAATGGAGGCGTCCAGAAATGAATTGCATTCGTTATTAGATAAACCACAGTTAGCTGGTATACCTGTGCTTGTACTAGGCAACAAACGTGATCTTCCAGGTGCACTTGATGAAACTGGCCTAATTGAGCGAATGTGAGTACAAAAAAAAAAAAGAAAAGAATTACTCAGCTTTTTTACTATTTCTATGTTTAATTAATCTTACAGGAACTTAGCAAGTATACAGGACAGAGAAATTTGTTGTTATAGTATTTCGTGTAAGGAAAAAGATAACATCGACATAACGCTGCAATGGTTGATCGCACACTCAAAAAGCCAAAGCCGTTAAACAAATAAAAAGTAAATAAATAAAAACGATATGCCAATAGGTTACTAGTGCTGTAGAGTGCAAAATTAATGTGGCGTGAGCATATGCATATATATATATATATAAGGCAATGAAAATAATAATTTATAAAAAAAAAAATTAAAACAAACAACATAAGATGGATAAAATTATATAAAAAAACTAAAAAAAAATAACGATTAAACATTTTAAATAAAACAGAAACAACCAAAAATTATTCATTGCTACACTTTGTACGAAGTAAATGAGATATGTACATGTATACAAGTGTGATTACGCCTAATACAAAATACACTATACATATATACTAGATGAAATTGTATTCGAATGGAATGTACTGACACACATGCAAATAAGTAAAATTTACTAAAACACATTAGCAGAAGAAGACATACAAATATACATACATATAGCTAAAGAAATACATTTCCAAACGTGCATTTGTGATTAGGATTTAGATACTGAACACTAAATTTCAAACAAAGAAAAATTATTTGCGGAAAAATTTAAATATATATTATCAATATTATCAATTCTTCTTTTGCATTCACATACATGCAAACATAGACATAAAGTTTAACGGCCGAATGAAAAAACTGGTATTCGAGAGTAAATCAAATTTGTTGAAGATAAATAATTACTTTATTGGGATTATATTTAATGTATGTATGTTTATGCTTTGGCTTAAATCGTGCGCATTGTCCACTCACTGTTTGTTTTGCTAACCGGAAACGAGCATAATTATTCTAGGTATCGGTGTGATTTTAAAATACTATATATATATACATATACGTTATTTACAACTATTTTATTATTATTTTTTATTTCAAAATGCTATGATATTTAGTGATTTCATTTAAATTTACATATATTTTTAATTCGAATTTGTAGATTACAAATTTCTATGAGCCTACATACATACATATATACCTTTGAGCATACGTTTATAATAAATTTAATATTTTTCACAATAACTATAAGTGCAAATTGGTGCATAATAAAATTGATTATAAAGAAAAAAAAATAATATAAATTTGTAAACAAACTCTAAATGCAAGATACTGTACGAAGTGCATTACTGCAGGAATGATATCGAAATGTGAAACACAATATTTGACATTGTTTGTGGATATGCTATGTATTTAAATACGTCAGTTTAAAATGAATCAAAACTCAAGAGAAAGCCTTTTTCATGTGAAATACAAATACGATACACATAGTATGTGCGATATATAGTGTTGAAGTTTGACATATGAGTAGGACGTACATATATACAGATGGACTAACCGACCATATGTTTAATTGATTTAATAAGTTTGATATTTGACTCATATTCTAATTTCACGCAATGATTATTAGTATAGTGTTTAAAACATGGAAAGTTCTCAAACAATAGTAATGCTTAATTGAATAAAAAAAGGTAAACAAGAAATGAAAAACGATTATATACGAACAATACTAAGTGAAATAAATAACTTTAAATAAAATTTCAAATTGAATTTGTTTAATTAGGTAATTTCGTAAGACGAAAATGTATGAAATTACATTACAATTTCCACTTCATGAAATACATAAACATATTTACCATTATATGTGCAATTAATGGTATTCTAATGATTGGTTAACGACTACGCACATGCGCATATGTGTAGGTGTGTCTGTATTGTATTCATTTAAACATTTCTGTGATCGGTTGCATTCCATTGATTTATGTCTTTTTCACGTGACTTAATTCTTAAAGAAAAAATTTTGAAGGTGGACGTGTTAAGACTGGTAGTTGACATTTTGCTTCTTGACTAGACTTTCTGATACATAGTAAAATACAACATGTCATTAGTTGAAAAAAAAAACAACAACAACAAACTGTTACCAAATTCCTGAATACCAATCAAATTTTTTTTACATTTTATTTTGTTATTAGAATAATAAAAGTGATCATATCAACTAAATATACTTTATGATATGTACATACTCGTACATATATTGTATGTATAATCATCGCTTTATAAGAGATGAAGAGCTCCTCTTCCAATTTGTGCTGCGCGTCTTGAAGGTTTTTTGTGAGGAGCATTTAATTCATGCCATAAAAAAACATCTCCAAACCTCTCCTGTCAAGTATCATAAGTGTGCGTATTTATGGAAGAAGTAACCTGTTGACCTAAACGGGTTTGGGTAGCCGCAAGGGTGACATCCCTTGGGCTTAAATTCCGAAGAACGCAATGTATGATAATTACAACTCCTTTATACTTACATATATATTTATATGTGTACGCACAAATCTATACAAAAATCGATAGAAAATATGAAAATAACACTGTTGTCTACCAATCACTTTATTGCCACCCAAACAGCTATTGCAACAAACATATGTGTGTATATAAATTCTTAAAAACATACAATTATTTGACATTAACTGAGTTGCATTTACGCTAATAAGATGACTTGCGAGTGGGTACCTACTTATGCATTACTAATTAGGTATTCAAGTAGCAAAGTTACGCTTGCCTGCTTCCAGGAAACAGTCAAACACAAAAACACGCACACAAGATGCACTGTTGGCGATTCCTTTGTATGCACAACTATCGACTGGCTAAAGTGAGCTCATAAATATTTTCTAATGTTTAATGATGAATTTTAGGTGTAAGGCATTTCCGTTTGTGGTTGATTACTTACTTTACAGCTTATGCATATTTTTAAGTTTTTTTTTATTGAAGCCCAATCGTTTTTCAAATTATCCTTGTAACTGAACTCGTGCCACTTAAACGATATTCTACTATTGACGTTGCAGTATGCGGTCCAATGCATATTTGTTCGAATGTGAAGTGCATAGAGTATTCTTTCAGAATGATCTTGCTAGATCAATTGTTTGTTAAGAGTACATTCAACTGTGTAAATTAAACAAAGAAATTTTTTCATTTTCATAATTATTATTTTATTGAAAGTATAAAAAAAAATTAAAAATATATGCCAATTTAGGCAAAATCTCAGACTTTTTTATTTTCTGACATATAGGGTAAGTGCAACATAAATAAATATTTCGTATCAGTGTGATATTTGTGTATTATGTTTAATACATTTTACTTTGTTGAAGTAATTTGCTAAAAAAAATTCACCCAAGCAAAATTAATTGCTGCCAGTTGGAGCACTACTCTTTTAGTTCATACCCTCATCAGCGGCATATTCCAAACGAGTTTTGATGAGTTTAGTTTTATCTGCCGCAACTCTTGCATTAATATTACTATTTTTCAAACAACTTAGGGGCGTCCTTTTAATGCCGTTTTCATTCTTTTGTTTCAATTTTAGTGATTTTGCTGCATTCAAATTTGGTTCGTTTTCAGAATCTTCAAATACGCGCTGCGGTGTGCTTTGTAAATCTTTTATGACGCGACGCGTTACCAATGGTATCTTTTCATTACCCTGTGCACGACGCATGCGTTTGTGAGTGATTTTTCTGAAAAGTTGCCCTTGACGATCGGTTCGATTTGTTCCTCCTACGGGAGTGGTCTTTTCATTATTTGTTGGAATGGAGCAAATGCTAGTGTCACTCATATCAAGCGAAAGTGTAGCCAATATGCTTTCTAATAAGACACCCTCATTAGCTTCATCATCATCATTAAATATAATGGGTGTACGATCAACGCCGATTGTTGGCGAACGCGGATCACACTCATCCTGTAAAATCTTTGGTGTGAGTTGTGGCGGAGGAGTATCTGGAAGCTTTAAATCTTCCTTTTCTACAGGAATATATTCCTCTACAACTCCTAATGAACTTTCTTTATTTTCTTCCGCAACTACTACAACTTTAGTGTTGGAAATAGATTTTTCATCAGCACACAGAAAATCATCGTAAGTTAATTTTTCATTTGTCATAATTTTTTCTTTTTGAGGAAAATCTTCTATTGTATCTACTAAATTTGATATCTTCTGTTCAGTTACTTTACATTGACCTTGGGTCTCAGCGAATAAATCTGAAAATGTATCATCCAGGTTTAGGATTTTATCTTGCGAGTCGTCGAAGCATAATGGTGAACGATTGAACTGATGAGCAGGTGAACGTGGGTCATTCAAATTATAAGTGAATCCTTTCAAAAATCTCCTACGTAGCTGACCAACTGTGCTTTCTGTATCGCGGTTTGTTTTCACATTTTTGTCTTCGTCGGCACATTCGCTTTTTGAAGTAAATATCTGCGAAATACCATATATATCAATAAATATATAAAATTTTCACTTAGTCAACTTACATTAATAGGTGTTCTACAGACATTTGGAGAACGGGGATCTTGAATATCAATGTTTCCTTCTAATGCCATTGCACCTAAAGTACACGGCGCAAAAGACGCAGCGGTTTCTGCGTTAGGTGTCTCCGGCAAATATATGCCATCAATTTTGGTTTGCTTAGCACCCATTTCCAATTAGTAGCTTGGAATTGTAAACAAGTTCTATTTGGTGTGTATGTACAAATAATTAGATCGTAGAGTAAATTTTTCGTTTTTCAAATTGTAATGGCGGTTGTTATATATGGAAGTTGGCTGTAGTTTATCACGAGAAACAGATGTGAAAACGAAGCTGCCAGCTGCCTGATGGGCACATTGTGTCATTTACTAATAAATTCTAATGGTGTATAACAGTTAAGAACTCAATTCGTTTGTATTTGAAGAATCAATTCAAATTACTTTATTCACAAGATAAACAGAGTGTTCCAATAATTATATAATTAGCACTTTGTAACTGCTGAAGCGATTTTCAGCCGAGCTCCTCTACCAATTTGTGGTTTTGCGTCTTGATGTTTTTCTAACAACTGGAGGGTCCTACAGTTTAGACTAGGACGCCTCCGCACGGCTGATGGTTTTTCATGAGGAGCCTTCATTTCATGTCAGAAATACACTCGGAGGAGTTGACATTTCCTGCCGTAGGGCGACCGCAATTTGAAAATTTAACTTAATTTTTTTATTTTCCAATAAGAGGTGTTATTTTGATGTTCAACGAAACTTTCCCTTAAAAGAGCTATGGTTTCGTTGCTTATAGAGTACGCAGTGTTCTCCAGATCCATCAAGGAGGAAGTGGGTCTCATCAGTCAAGATGATTTTTCAATTAAAATTTTATAGTGAATTTTAATAACTTCAGTGCGTTGTTGAATCATTTATCATTTCATTTTTATAACTGGCGTAGTTTACACATGTCAAATGTCAAAAAATCACAACTTCAAAAGTAACATCTACCGGAATAGCAGACTATTCAAAACAACGCTTCTTATTGGAAAATCAGTTATTCTAAAAGCTTTTCACTAATCACGTTTGGAACAGGATAACCAAACGCTTACTACCAAGGTCACGTTATACGCAGCAAAAGAACAACAATAATACGAGCAATAGGAAGTCATGACCCAAGGCTCCACACGAGTTGGTTACCACATCTTCCACAGGAGTTGCTCAACTCTAACAGCATACCAAGAAGCTTGACTACACCCCGTTAAACTCAGGAAATATTAAAGCGGAGAAATTTGCGTGTTCACGGCAATCTAAATATACATACATATGTATGTACGTATCTAAGATTCGCTATTAAATTATATAACCTATACTTTATAAAATTCAAAATTATCCATTACGTACTGCCATTACAAGAAGACCAGGGTTCCAGTCCTGGTTCCAAAATTATAGAAAATTAATTTTTTTGTTATTTTACCCTCTCGGCGGCAGGCAAGCCCACAATCCTTCCGAGTGCATTTCTGACATGAAGTAGAAGCTCCTCATATTAATCCATCGGAGGTGGCTTAATATAAACTATAGGTCCCTCCATTTGTTGGAGAACATTAAAACGCATACCATAAATTGAAGGAGGAGCTAAGCCGAAAATCGCTGCCTTAAAAAAATACTTTTTCTACGACTTTAGTGTCATTTCAAAACCGAATCTTGCCAGCATTGCAAGTTTTTCACCACCACAATATCACATACGAGTACGTACATACAAGCTTCATATATCTATTTCGTCAAATCACCAGTAAGAGGAATATGTTCGAATCCCACCACGTAAGAAGTGAACTTATTTTTTCTTTTTATTTATTTTTTTTTAAAGAAAATTTTTAGTTATACAATTTTTTTTTTATTAACGAGTGCTTCGTTGTTTCTCATAATACAAAAAAAATTATAATTTTCGTTGGTTCTGTGAGAGTACACAGTCGATCTTAATCGGCCATTCACGTTATTGCTCGTTCTCTGTCAGATTTTGTTCGAAATTTAAATATATTATTTTACACGAAGACAGTGATGCGTTGTGTAGAGTTAAGAATACGAAGCAAAGGTGCGCAGGTTCTCGAATACCGTAGTAATTCATAAACCATAAGTTTTCTGTACCGATTAGAAAAAAGCTTTGTCCTTCTCTATGAATGCGTGCCGCTTTTTGTTAATTTTTGCTACTGTTTGTTTATCTTCTATCTACAGGCATATATACAAATTTTTATCCTGAATGACAGGCGGATTAAGGCACATTGTCGAGGCCTGAAACTTGAAGAGTATGTTTCTCTTATGGCGTAGGAGTCTGATAAGAAAGGAATTTGCGATATTTTAGCCAAAAGGAGCTGAAAGAGGTATCAAACTTAACTAGCGTAAAGAACACATCCCAATCATTTGATTCAGATTTTTTTCTGACGCCAGCGTTGACATAAAACTATGGGGAATAGTCCAATCATTGTCTTCACTGGATTTAAATTTTCTGAAGTTATAAATGTGGTCCTAGAACTGATCAGCACATCAGCTCTCTTATGGAGTATCCTATTTTTCTTAAAACTTTAGGTCCTTTGTTATAGGGGAATTTAAAAAAGAGAGTTTCTTGTAAACTTTCCCTTCCATGTTCTCTCATACAAATTTTATAAACTATTATATAGTATTCATCCTTGACTCCTTTTCCGACAGAAGGCAATGCAGTTTGTGGTGCGTTAAATTCTTCCTTTTCCTAAATTTTTTATTATACACTTTGCTACTTACTCCGGTGAACATCCGAAATCAGTAATGGCATCGTACCATTGGAGATTACCGTTTTTGCTGTAGCTTGTTGTATGCAAAATATGACATTTTTTGTTAGTCAAGAAATCGGACTTTACTTACTTACTTTACTGGCGTAGACACTGTTTACGCGATTATAACCGAGTTCACAACATTGCGTCATTCTTTTCATCTTTTCGCTGCTTGGCGCCAATTGGAAATACCAAGTACAACCAGGTCCTTTTCCACCTGGCCCTTCCAACGTCGAGAAGGTCCTCTTCCTCTGCTTCCACCGACGGGTGCTGTATCGAAAACTGTAAGAGCTAGATGGTTCCTAGCCATTCGGACCAGCGTAGCCACTACTTCTGAATTCGGTGTACTATATGTTTCTGTTTGCAAGAGTGATTCTGCGCTGGATTTCAAGGCTGACGTTGTAAATGGTGTTAATGCTGGTTCCTTGATAGAAGAAATTATCAACGACTTCAAAGTTATGACTGTCAACAGTGACGTGTGAGCCAAGTCGCGAATGCAATGACTGTTTGTTTGATGACAGGAGATATTTCTTCTTGTCCTCGTTAACTAGCAGACCCATTCGTTTCGCTTCTTTATGAAGCCTGGAGAAAGCAGAACTAACGGCGCGGTTGTTGAGGCCGATAAAGTCAATATCATCGGCGTACGGCAGCAGCTGTACACACTTATAGAAGATTGCACCTTCTCTATGCAGCTCTGCAGTTCTTGTTATTCTCTCCAACACCAAATTGAAGAAATCACACTATAAAGAGTCATCATGTCTGAAATCTCATTTGGCTCCCAATCGCTCGGAGAGATGCTTCCCATTTCTGACTGGGGTTGTCTAGTGTTAGTTTACACAGCCGTATAATTTTGAGGTTATACCAAATTCGGACATAGCGGCAGCTTCTTTTCCTGCTTTTTTAAAATCGACGAAGATGTGGGGTGTGTCGTTGAGCTTTTCACGGGCCATTTCCAGGACGGTGGGATCTAGTCTTTCGGACAAATCGCTCGATAGAACCTTACATGCAATATTAAGGAGGCTTGTTGTTCTTTAAGGGGGCCAATCACTATTCGGGGAGTAGAAGTGCAAGTCGAGTAGAAAATCTTTAATCGTTCAGAAGTCTGTTGCGACTGTAGCTTTTCGTCGTCGAACCCTCCTTGTGTTGACGGGCGTTCTTTGATGCACTGAGGCGGGTGGGTGTTCATCCTTGCAGCTACAAGATAGTGCATCGAAATCGAAAAACTTTATTCATAAAGCTCTCTCCAACCAGGCATAAAGACTTCAGAAGACAGCTTTGCTTTTGTGTTTTTGCACGCGACTTTTCTTATCGCTACCGACAGGGGAGTTTTTAAAAAAATGTAATAAATAGATTCAAAGCCAAAGGCCAACCGATCAGTTTCAGTGCAATATTAAGACTCTCTTTATTTTATTCAATCAATCATAACGAAAGTTATTACAATTATACAATATGCTTAGACATCTACTTTTACAATTATATATTTTGTTGACTTGGCTATCTTACTTAATTAATACATTAATGCATATTTAGCAATTTATTTATTTTCTGATTCTAAGAATTTAGTTAGTTCTTTAATTTTGTTTTATACTCTTTTTTGACAAATTTAAAATAGACCGGAAGTTGGTTTTGATTTACTTTACGTATTTGCAATATTCTTAATAAATTGGTCGATGTCGCCAATTGCTGAGTTGCTATAATTCTTATATGTAACTCGCGCGAACCTTAGCATGCATTTTCTAGACTAAACGAATAACTCTATTTTTTTTATTATAATTTTTTTTTTTTGCTTTCGCAAGTATAAACTTTATTATATGGCAAGGTGTGAGAGAACAATTCTTGGTCAAAAAAAAAAAAATAAAAAAAAAAAATAAAAGAAAAAAATAAAAGAAAAAAAGAAAAAAGAGACAGTTCAGCATTAACAAAAACAGAATAAAAACATTTTTTCGCATAAAAAATAAATAACAACTACATTTTCGCGATATTAATCTCAAAGTGTGGCCACAATTGTATCAGTCAGAGTTTGTTGTTTTATACTTCACGGTACTTTTAAGACTCAAGCGCTTAGTAGATTTACTTCATAAAATAAATAAAATAAATATAGAAAAAACAAAAACATTAAAGGCAGTAAGAAATGTTTATTAAAACCAACATAAATAACACCCGACAGTCACGTAATTTCTTCATACAAAATGCTTACTTTTATTATACTGCTTTTGGGCAAATAAGAAGAAATAAGAAACCGTCAAGAATTTCATATCAAAATGTTGTAGGCAAAATTAAAAAGAATTACTAGCTTTTAGTTAATGACATGTGTAAACGGTGTGCCACAGCTGTGCAAATTTTTTTTTTTGTTTTTTTTTTTGTTGTTTCTCAAGCGGCTTACTACGTCAACAACTTCTACAAATGTTGGGTGCGCAATAAAAAAAAGTTAAAAAAAAAATATTTAATTTTAACTTTAATTATGCATGTAAAAGGACAAGTTGTCGGTGACGGTACACGTGTACGCATGCGCCTTCCGCCAAATTTCGGCTTTTTCTTTGTCATTTGTGTGCAAAGTAAATATGTATAGATATTAGCAAATGGAAATGCAAAATGAAAAAGTCTTAAAGGAGAAAAGACATTTTTTGCATGC